TTTTTTTTTTCAATAGTACATTACTGAATTAGCAAACGCCCTATCTTACTGCCATTCAAAGAGAGTTATTCATAGAGACATTAAGCCAGAGAACCTGCTTCTTGGATCAACTGGAGAGCTCAAGATTGCAGATTTTGGGTGGTCAGTACATGCTCCATCCTCCAGGTATGTAACATTATAGAGGTGGAAGTTGTTTAGCAGAAGTTCTGGGGGCTGATCATATACTAAGTGCAAAAATCTCTAAAAATATTTTGTTAAGTTGGGGCAAGTGACCAACCCAGAAATAATTTAGATCTGATAATAGATGCTGTCTTTAAGAAAACTTTATTCTGTAGCCAGGTAGGGCTATATATGGCACTCTGGGCCCACTGTTAAGGATGCTGAATGTCTTTAGAGACTAATGAAGAGGATGGACAAGTCAACATGTGACAAGTCTAAGCAAGATGCAGATGTGTAGAGAAAAGTCCACCTTAATGGTGGGAAGGAGATGCTGTTGCTTCCCAGATAAGGAGACAAGGAAAGTTCCAGAGACAGCAGTACAGAGATCTACAGCTGAAAGTACAGTTTTTTGGGGAACTTTGAAAACCAAATTGGTTTGGCTGGATGACTGAGGATGGTGATAAAAGAGTCTGTTTGCTTTTTGTCAGCAGGAGGAACAGTCCTTTCTTTAACCCCCTTAAAAATGAACAGAGACATCATCTAATGAAACAATTGGGCCTTAGGTGAACCTGCCCAACAAGAGCAGGTTTTAAATTGATTTGGGTTAAAATAAGCTTTGATGCCTGGTGTTGAGTGGGACATTGTAAAGTGTACATCTACTGTTCAGGCTTGTCAGCTTTGAGGGAGGACTTTAAAAGTCATCAAGTGGTAGTTATTAAGATAAAGTTAGTTAAAAGAAATTGTGTAGCCTAAAATAGACAACATGGGGTGAGGTCTTAATAGGTCATTTCTGTTGTCTGCCATATGTTAAATCTGTTGTTATGGTCTCTTAGAATTGTAGTTTCATGGGGCTGCAGGGTTTAGCTTGACCTTAATGTGTCCAGTGGTGTCACCATGACAGAAAATACAAGACTTATTTTTTCTGAAGAGATAATTTATATAAATGTTGATGGCCACGTCACCCTGCATCCTGAATGTTAATAACTATAACAGTTTCCTGGTTATTGTGGACCACTGTGTGAGAGCCCCTGATGTAGTCTCAGTGGGGGTGAGAGCTTGGACATTTGCACAGGTAGCTGCATACCTGTTTCACTGAATGTACATTTGTGTGCTCACAAGACACCAGGCAAGGCTGAGCGCAGCTCAAAGCAACAGGAACCTCCATAGTCTGCCCCCGGCTGGATGTCTGTCACCCCTAGCTTATTCCTAACCTTGTTATGAAATGGCAGAGTTGGTAGTGGACAGCATGCTGGTCTGCCCAGTGCCTCCATTCAGCAGGTCTTAATACTGCCATATTGGCTGCATCTGTTTTTTTGAAAATAGGCTACAGCATCATGATCCTTGAGCACCACCTAAAAACCAAGGGATTGTACTGTATAATCACAACCATTATCACACTTTAGAAAATTAATAGTGTTGTTCATATCTTTATCTATGTTCGAATTTCCCCAGTTGTCCATGAAATTTTATCTTT